TTCTTTTATTAGGATTCTCGACTGTTTCCTTAGACTTCTCATTTAGAAAAATGCTCATTTAAATAAGTAAAGAATATATTTTCAGTAACCAGTTAAATGTGAATGATGCAGTCATGTGTAGGTCTGAGAATAAATTTGTGTGCTTAATAGTGTAGACATGAAAGGAATATACTTACCTGAGGGAATGATATCTGTAGTTTTTCATTCACTTTCTAGATTGTTGATGCATTTTATGATTTTTGTTTCATTACCTTAAGGTAATGAATGTTATGTGTATGATACTTGCAGGTACAGTAAATGATGGGTAAGGTAAATGATCTCTTAGAAACTTTCCTTTAAAGAGAGACATTATGAAAATCTGAGGATGTATCTTTTTGGTCTTATTTTCACCTGAAGATTAGGAGTGTATCTTTGCCTTTCCTGAAATGGTAAAGGGTAAATTTTTGGTAAACAAGGTGTCTGCTCTGTTGCATGTTTCACTGTAAGCAGCAGATGTTTACTGTGTTTAGCAATAATGGGATTAGTGAGTGATTAGCTTTCTCCTTGATGTTACCATCATAGAGATAGTGTAGTAGGTGCAAGTAGCCACTCTTCTGCATCCCTGTATTCTAATCTTTCACCCTCCACTAGCAGTACTGCTACATTTCAATTTAGGTTCCAATATTTCAATAATTATGATGAAATTGCCTTTTTAACTAGTCAATTAATATGCTCAGCTTTAAGAAAGCCATATTGTAGGAATCATAAACAGCAATAGTGGTAGGTACATGGTGGGATGCTATTAAAGCCTAAACTTTTTGAGAAGTCAAAAGGAGATAAAGAAATCTCTTTAAAAAAAACAACTATTTCTCTTTAATGTATTATTTGTTACTTGCAACTACCTCGTGCTGCAAATGGAAATTTTTTCTTAATCATTAAGATCCTGTTGTGTTTCTGATTAAGATGACCAGTGCTTATGAAGATCAGAGGAGCTTCATGGGCAAAATATTTATCTACAGTCTATTCATATATTGACTGCATGAATATCATGCTGTCGTCTGGTTTTAGGCATCGGATGATTCCTGCAACTAGTGTAGAAGTTTCTCCAGGATAGGCCTGAGCAGCATGCAGCATCTGGCTCTGTATAGCAGAGCTACTTTCTGTGTGGCTGGTATTCCTGTAATCTTGAGCAGAGAGCTTTAGAAAATACCAACTACAATAATACTTAAGTTTAAAAAAGCATTAATTTTTGAGAAACATCTCTACAAAGAAGCCAAAAGTAGTGACCAAGAGGTTAACATATTTGCAAATGCTGTGTTAAGTTGAAATGTTTTATACACTGATTCTGAAGATGGCATTGATACTTTTACAGAAAGACTTGGGCTGTGTTGGTGACATTCACTGAGAAATAGAAACAGTTGAAATGAGAGAAATGGGAAGAAGGGAAGTCTGTTAAGGCAGAACATTTGAGAGCTGATTTGTGAAATACATTAAAAATTGGAAATCTTACACATCAAAAGCAATTAAAACTCGCTAGGTTCACCAGTGCTCATAGAATTAGAGGTATGAAAGAATACTTAAAGGAAGGCAGATCACATAGTAAAAACTAAATGGTCTAATTGCATTGCTTTTTATTTTTTACTTTTTTTTTTTTTTTGCCAGAGAAAGGCTTGAAGTTCTCACTTTTTGTTTGTAAATTACAACTTAAGTTTTCAGTAAGGAGTGTTTAAACCCTCTGCAATGTGGTAACTATTCCATAGCCATGTCTAATGGTATGTTCTGAGGAATTCTAGAGGAGCTTTGCTACTAAACTCTAGCATGAAGACAGCCTTGTCACTGCTAGATCCCATGCAGACTGAAGCATTAAATGCTTTTTTGGCAGCATAAGAAAAAATGTAGATGACCAGCTAGTATTCTTTTGATTGTTTCATGATATGGTTCAGGACTGTGACTGTTGGTCATCTGAACTAAGGCTCATTGGGGTGCTGCTGCGAGAGAGTGCACGTGTGCTTGCTGTTTTTTTCTGACCTCACTAACAAACTAGAGGCTGCTGCTGAAAGCTGACAAAGAGCATAGTGCAATGTGTTGAGGATTGAGAACCCCATTCTTCTATGCTACAGAATGGCTCCTGAGAGCACATGTTTTCAGTGATGTCTGGGAGTGGTTGAATCTGGCTGATACTGTAACACAGCTGATTCTCATGAATAAACACAAGGGATCTAGTGAAAGCTTTAATGAAGATCTGTCAGACAGCTACCTTTATTTCTGTGAAGGATTCATCCTTAATCCTTACTTGTGTGGTCAATTTTTGAAGGATGTTTGAGGTTTATTTTTGAAAGCCTTAAAGTGTAGAATCATAAAATGGCTTGAGTTGGAAGAGACCTCAAGGATCATCAAGCTTCAACCCCCCTTCTACAGGCAGGGCTGCCAGTCTCCACATTTAATACTAGACTGAGCTGCTCAGGGCCCATCCAACTTGGCCTTGAACACCTCCAGGGACAGGGCATCCACAGCCTCTCTGGGCAGCCTGTCATAGGTTTGCTGAACTTACAGGCTAACTAACTGCTCATAAGTAACCAAAGGAAAGAATAAATTATTCATGTTATAATAATAATGAAGGAAGAGTATCGGTGGAATTACTTAAGATCTGGTTGCTTGATATATTCATAAATACCTGGAGGGAAGAAATTAATGAGAAAGGAGCAGAGCACTATGATAAGTAGAAAGCCAGAGCTGAGTACAGATGGTTGCAATGGGAGTTTATTATTCATTAGGCTACAGAATTGCAGATAAAATTAAATGCTGGTAAATACTGAGACACAAATCTGAAGAAAAGTAAATAACTTAGGCGGCTTCTGCCAAGTGAGTGGACAATTGGTGGTAATTGTTCAGAAAAGATTTCAAAGCTCCTTCAGAATAACTTCTGAAGAGTTAGCTGCGTGCTCAGAGATCCTGAAATAGTAGTAATAGACAATAAAATAAGCATGTAATGGACAGTAAAATAAGTGTGCCATGGAGTAAGTGATGTGTGACTGGTCACCTGCCGAAAACATGGTGCAACTGAAAATGAGCTGAAGAAAGTCACCAGCGATGAAGCTTTGGACCCACTCCTGTGTAAGGACAGAAGAGCAGTGAGGATTGTTAGCTTGGAGGAAAAAAAGCTTGTGGATAGGGATGAATGAATTTAGTGTCTGCAAAATGTTGTTTGCAGATGAGTTGTCAGTAATCACATTTTTCCTCAAGAAAAAGAACATCAAATAAACTGTTGTCTGTGAATTACTTTAAAGTAAAGCACTTGATTACCATGATACATACTTAACTTGTCATTAGAATACTGTAAGTGACAAAAGCATAAATGGACTAAAGACATGGAGAAATCTTCTGAGCTAATGCATGTTTGGCATCCACTGTGAAAGTGTGTTGAACTTAGTGGAGGCATAGAAGAATTGCTGCAAGGCAACTGGATAACTGCTTTATCTTCTATTGCTTTCACTCTATACCTGCCTACTACTGATTTCTTTTAAACAGGACAACAGGAAATATTTAGTTGGGCTTCACTGCTGTTATATATGTTCAATTACTTTTTCTCTTATCTGTGGGGAAGGAGGAAGTATCAACCTTCCTAGAAATAAAATGAGTATGTTAGCTTGAACCTCTTCTCTTGCTCTGAAACTTGGAAATGTGTTCATTCATTCGGTAGAAAAATTTAGTTTGACTATAGTTAAATGTTTAGATGTAGATCAGTAGTTTAAGAGGAAAGCCAAATGATACGATAATTCTAAATTTATACTCCTTAAGGTGTCTTCATGTTTTGCTGCTAAAATCCTCATGTATTGAAAGGAATTCTGACGCCTAAGAAGCGTGAGCAGTGCCTTCCAAGTGTGGTCTATTGGAGGATATCTGATAGGATAGGAATCCTCTAGTAAAGTGAGTTACAAAGTGGTCATAGAAATACAAAACTGGAGTTCTATTAGATGTATAAGCATTTGATTTTTGGAAGACTAAATGTATTAATGGGTGGGTTGAATTTGTGTTTTATTGAGGTCATTGTTCAGATTTCATTACACTAAATTGTGAACTTATTTCTTGGATTAGAGAAATTTTATAAATGCACCATCTTTTTGTTAAAGATGTTGCTAATATCCCATTTCAACAAATTGTTTTTTTGTTTGGCATGGCTTTGTGCCTTTATTGAAAGCAAGCATTTACATTCATCTTGAAATTTAAATTCGTTTTAATTCTCAATTGTCAGTGTTCTATAGTATCAGGAAGGTGGAGAATTGAAGCAATTAACATGTATATAAAGATTGAGATATCGTGTTGCACTGGTATTAATATATTTTACACTTGAGATATATTTAACAGTCCTTCATAAGTTCAGTTGAAAAGTAATTTCCTGTATGAATGAATGGCTTGTAAATGGCTTGGATTGTCAAAGAAATCCCCATTTGACCAAATGTATGTTTTTGTATCAAGGAATACTCAAATGTCCCTTTTATAGCCTTCTGTAGCAACTTCCACATAAGCAGAAGTATAGGCCCCTCAAGAGCATATCTATTTGAAGATTTTCATTGTTTCTGTGTTTGTTAGTCCATGTTTGTACTGTTGTGTAGGTTTCATTTTTTTTTTTTAAAGCAAGCAGTGAGGGAATCAGAAATTGAATTTCTGCTTCATTGCTTAGCATGTAAGAAGGATAGCACAGTCTACCTGTGTTCTAGATGTGCTATTTTACATCTTTAGCAGTTGGGTAATATAGTGAGAGCTGATGTGTAGGTATTGCTGAGATTACTGTGATGTGCAGTGAAAATTAAGTGCATCAGCTCCCTGTCCCCACCAGTCCTAGACCTCAAGCTGTCCAGCTTCCTGTTCCAAAACCTAATTTCTGTGACACTCGCTTGTCTTGAAATTACTGCTGATTTTGCTTGGATGGAGATATGAAACAAAACCTATGGCTTTTTGTAGAGGTGAAATTTATTCTAATATTTAAATTATAATGGTAGTTATGCTGCTTTCTCCTTTAGACTGCATGAAGAAATAATTGACTTCTATGACTTCATGTCCCCTCGTCCGGAAGAAGCAGCTATGAGAAGAGAAGTGGTGAAAAGAATAGAAACAGTCATCAAAGATCTTTGGCCTACAGCTGATGTGAGTATAGCTTAAGTGCTGGTTTGCTATTATATTGTAGAGCTCAATTCACTTAACTTGCTATTATTTTGGTTTTTGTTGTTTAGAAGTGAACAGATGAGGCTTAATCTGGTTTACTTGGAATACTGTACGAGCTGTGATATTTATTCTAAAAAGTGTAGGAAACTTAAAACCTTTATATCAGGTTAATGGAGACTACTGATAGTTTTTTTGTTTTCAGAACTGTGGATGTGAAGAACTGTCCACCTTAGGAAGTGTTTTTTAAAGCTTATTAAATATTAAAATGATATGTATGCACAAGGAATCCTGACTATATGAATATTTGTAAATATTATGTAGCAGGGCAGTTCCAAAAATAAAATTCCTTTTTTGCATCCGTAACAAATTTGACATTGAGGGAATTACTTCAGTTGTGCTTTAGTAGGGAAAATTTGACTTCTGGAGATATCTTCCAACCAAAATATTTCATTTTTAAACCCTTTAAAAAAACAGTACGTCACTTCCAAATTAAAATGGCCCAGAAAGAACTGACTACAAACTATATTGATAATAACTCTGCTACCTGTAGTTAGAAGGATGATGTTGTTAACAGGTTGTAAAAACATTTCAGACTGCTACACTTTCATAAGCTTCAATGAGAGACTGAGGTTTGTGGGCACAGTGTTGAACTAAAGATAGTGTAAGTGCTGTCTTCATCTTTACCTGCGATTTTCCTTAGCAATAAGATTTTTCTAGATCACGGAACAGCATGGAAGTGGCCCTTCTTTTCATGGGTCACTTCAAAAGGGTGAACTTGCAAATTGTGCCGCAACAGAGGAGGAGGATTTCAGTTCTCTAGGATGGAAGCATGGTGAAAGCATCTGATCTGGACTGCAAACTTCTCTCGAGCATCCTCCCTTCTTTCCATATTCCTCCCCAACATCTACTGTAATTTGTCATCCTTACAGTGACATTTGGAGTGTTTGTGTTCCTTATGAATTGAATAATTAGATGTATTTGCTTTTAAAAGTAAGAAAATGCTTCCAGACACAATCAGTAAAGCTGTCTTATGAGGAAAGAGAGCACAGAAAGAAGGGAAACTTATAGCAGCTTATACTTCTGTAGAACTGGAAATAAATAAGGAAAAGGACTTTTCAAAAGTTTTTTTTTTTCTGGCTTGCAGGCTTTGTAATCACTTCATATCTCAAAAATACAGTTTCCTGTAAAGTTGCATCTGTAAGAGAAAATGCATTTCTACAAGTATAACAGTATACAAAGAAAGTCTCAACTTTATTTACTGGACTATATCTGTAACAGGTCCAGGAAAATCTTAATAAATCTTGAGAGCGCTAAATAAGCATTCATGATGAGTGATTTCAGTGGTTTTTTTTCCCCTCAGGTCCAGATATTTGGCAGCTTTAGTACAGGGCTTTATCTTCCTACTAGGTAAGTAATGATTTGCTTTTATCTAAAGCTTGATTTCTTTTAGAGTACTGGTAAAATCCAGGGTGGAATTCAGAGTCTGGAATGTGTAGATGTGTCAGTAAAGCATTTGTTTAGTATTCCATGTGACTAAGGGAAGAGCTATTAACTTAGATTTGATAAATATTTGATAAACCAGTTTTAGATGCTTGGGGGTGCTTTGGTAATACCTTTTCTTTCTTTGGAGTTAATCTTTGGTATTTTGTTTTTAAGTTACAGTAGAACTGACCAGTTTAGGACTTGCTATTTGAAGACTGTTTTTTAAATAAAGTTACTGCATGTCACGCTGTAACTGCAAAATTAGAAGTCATCACAGCTGGGTTCTCTCTTTGGAGAGTATAGAGTGCTTTGAGTGTGAGTGTCTTTTATCACTTAATGGTTCAATACATATTGGTGGTTATAAAGTTAGTGGGAAATTTTGTGTAACTGTCTTAAAGACTGTATTGTCTTAAAATGATTTTTTTCAGTAAGCACTGGCAATTTAATTACTATGAAGAGTTACTGATAAAAGACGTTGTTATTATTAACAACGTGGGTAGACGAGGGACAGAATTGGACTGGAGCTGTGGAAATCAATGGTAGGGTGTGCAAAGAAAAAAGGAAGGAGTTGTTTCTAGAACTTATCAGAGGATTGAAGCAAGCATGCCGACCTGTCTCTTAATGTTACTAAAGCTAACTTAGAAATCTAAATTGTTAGAAGTTGAAAACTGCTTATTATTCTGGAGAACTTGAAACGTGTAGAAGAGCAATTTTGCCCTTTTCTTCAGGGGACTATTTTGTCTTACATGTAATGCATTTCATATGTGTTCTTTTTCTCTAGTGATATTGATTTAGTTGTTTTTGGGAAATGGGAACGCCCCCCTTTACAGCTGCTGGAGCAAGCACTAAGAAAACACAATGTGGCTGAGCCATATTCCATCAAAGTACTTGATAAAGCTACAGTAAGTAACAATCTTTGGAGTAATGAAAAGTTTTCGGACTCCTTAACATAAGGAAAAACTGTTGGAAGTCTAGTTTTTCATGGAATATTGAAGTGTTCTAAGCTTAACCAGGCTTGATGTGTAGTGTTTCTTGCATCAGTCTTGTGACTATCAGATCAAACACTGAATGTGCTAAAAATGCAGTGTGAGAATGTTATGTTACTGAACAAGTGTTTTCTCTAGGAGACAAAGTGGAATATCATGAACTTGTTTTAGTAAGCTGCTCCCTTTTGTGGCCTTTGAAGTAGTGACTGTTCAAGGTTCAGAAAGTTCCTACAGCTTTTTAATAGTAGGAGCACATAACAATAGCTCTGGTATTCTTCGGTTTATCTGAGAGTGAATTTTTTGTATTAGCTGTAGCACTTAGTGAAAGAGAAAGATGATAGGTTTATTAATTTCACTGGCATCTTTTATTCCCTCCACTGTTGGTATAAAATGGAGTTACAAATCTGCTCTTTCAGATGAAAAAGAAGAGCTAGAAGTTCAACTTCAAATACATGTATGAGCTGAAGTTTAGGTTATCTTTGAGATAACATGCTTATAATACCGTTCTGTGGGATACTGTTCTCAAGGCAGTGGTGTGAGACCAAATTGAGCATTCAGTAATTCTGTCATGATTTATTGCTGCCAGGAGAAGTACTGTTGTTCCTGCTTTGCTTTTTATCCAATCTGGATTTCATTTGATTGCAGTGAACCAATTCGGTTTGATAAACCAATGGGCAGCTCTTTATTTTTTCTGCTTTATTTTTTCTTCTGTCAGTTTAGCAAGGTGAATGACACACTGCTAGGTCAGATGAATGCAATTCTTACAAGTTATGGGAGTATAGTATCTCCTATTAATGACTCCCTTAGTCATTAAATTAGGTAAATTTACTTGTCTTACAAAACACCTCAGGTACTGCAGATAGAGGCAGTTACCTAACAGCTATGGAGTGTACATGAGAGATAGTAAGTTAACATGGTCATACATACTATTATTTTAATCACCTCACTAAAAATTGTTCACTGTCAGGAAAGTTAGAATTGCTATCCTTTCTCAATTTCCTTGTCTTGGTAAATGTGTTTATTTGGGCTAGTAGTATCCATGTATGTTGAGTAGCTGGAGAAGAGCACCAATGTTGCATTTCTGGGGACTCATAAAATCTTATTTTCATCTTCTCAGGTACCAATAATAAAACTCACTGACCAGGAGACAGAAGTGAAAGTTGACATCAGTTTTAATGTAGAAACTGGTGTGAAGGCAGCTCGATTTATCAAGGAATACATGAAGGTATCAGCTGTACAATGAATATTATACTACTTATCAAGGATACACTAGATGCTTAGATAACCTTTTTTGGTATGGCTTAAGATTTTTGAAAACTTACTGTTGAAGACTGTTCTTTTCATTAATACTAATTAAGCCTGGGTATTTTAATTTATTTTCTACTGTTATTTACTGAATGTTGCTTCAGTAGAAAGACAGGTGTTTTTTTTTTTAAGGTTCAAGCTTTGTAAGCTAGAAACTGTAAGGATGGAAGCTGAGTATTGTTACAGAATTTTCTGATAGTTGAATACTGGATGCTTGTGTGCAGAAATGTATTTTGAATGGACCTGAACAGTCATATCTAGATTTGCAGGCTGGTTCTAAGCTGTGCTTCTAAAGCAAGGTTGTTCAGGTTTTGCTTTAAATTTTACATTACATTTTAATGATGCTTGAATATGAATACAGTATTGTTAGACAGACAGTGTCTAATGACAATTGTTCTGTATGTAAGTACTTACAATCAAGCTCATTTTTACTGTGCATTAAAAGTACTGTTTAGATGAAAAGCACTGACTGAATTAGGCTGATAATAAATGATGAATTTGGAGATAATCCTGTTAGGATGGAGATGGGAGGAGTTAAATTTATATAGGCTACTAAATCAAGTATGAGTTTGTGTATTTGCATGTTTCATATTGTGTAAGTTTTGTGTATGTGCATGTTTCAATTCTTCTGGAGGAAATGCATAATGGTGCACTACTGAACAACATTTTTGTATTAGATGAATCTAATTTTGAGATTTAGTATTTGCTTTGTTTTGGAATGTTGGTGGTATCTTTGATAAGAACTATTTTGCTTTGCAGAAATATTCCTTGCTGCCTTACTTGATTTTAGTATTAAAACAGTTCCTACTTCAGAGGGACTTGAATGAAGTTTTTACTGGTGGAATTAGCTCTTATAGCCTAATTTTAATGGCAATTAGTTTCCTGCAGGTAAGTCCGTCCCTTATTTATTTGCTTGTGTGTTCTTTAAAATATCTTGGTTTTTGTCACTCAGCCTTCTTAGTGAAGGTGCTGTTTCTTTACAATCCCATAGCAATGCATAATTTTATTCTGCTATAGCTCTAGGTGTTTGATCATTGACAACTCTGTTAGATTACATCTAAAATCTCCTAAGATTTGTGAATTGAAATAGCAGCAGGAGATCTATTAACATCATGGAGGCAGTGCATTGCTTTCTATAACAGGTCTTGTGATGAGGATTACACCACTTTCCTATGTCTATTCCAGTACCTGAATGGTCTTACTGGTGTTAAATCTGCTTGGATGCAATTGATCTGCTACTTCTTAGACTACTGGTACTGAATGTGGAGAGTAGTTGATTTTGGTGTTAAGAAATTAAACAGTCAAGTTGTTTTAATTATATGTTCACTGGTTAAGCTTTAACATCCTTAAAACTGGCAGATATTTTAGACATCATTAATGAGTATTAACTATCAATGTATTTCTCTGGCAGTAATATTTCTATGACTATGAAGTACATAATAGGAGGTGGATTAAGGAGCTACTTCAGTTGGAGCAAATAGTTTTTCTGCTTCTGAAAAAATTAAGCCTGATTTTTTTTAAAAAAAACAAGAAACAGAAAAAACAACTATTACTCTGTTACTAAACCTTAATGCAGTAGTGATCTTCTCCAACCATAATGATTTTGATTCTTTGTGCTTCATTACTATTGGCTTAGGAAAAGTTTTAGAGGTGACAAGAAATAATTCTTTTTCCATATGCTGCTGAAGTGCTGCCCCCTCTTGGTTACATAAGAACAATTTAAAAACATGAATTAATGACTCAATTCAGACTTTTGTGGAGATTATATTCAGCTTTTGTTGTATTGTTGTAGTCTGACAAATGCTGATGTTTAATAATTAGTAACTGTTCTGTCACAGCTGCATCCAAGAATTGATGCCAGAAGAGCTGATGAAAACCTTGGAATGCTTCTGATAGAATTTTTTGAACTCTATGGAAGGAATTTTAACTACTTGAAAACTGGTATTAGAATAAAAAATGGAGGTGCCTATATTGCCAAAGAAGAAATCATGAAAGTCATGACAAATGGATACAGACCATCCATGTTATGTATAGAAGATCCTCTGCTGCCTGGTAAGACTGTATGCTTCTTGCAGTACTCTGGGGCTCTGGCTCAACTCTTGCTCTCAAACTTACTTTAGAGTCTCTAAAATCTGTTAAATGTGTTGAGAAGCAGCTCAGAGAAAAGGCTTCTTGGTGGTGAGATGCACCAACTGAGATGAACTAAGGGATAAGGAACCAAAATATGCGAGGACTCTTAGCCTGAGTAAACTAGACTATGTGAACAACACAAATGATGCACTGGAAGTTCAGAAATGTGTACCTAAGGTTCTCTAGCAGTGATGGGAATAATGATGGAAAGAGATCTAGGAAATTCTGGGAGAGGAGTTACTAGAAGGGAGAATGGTTTGGGTTTTTTTACTATGAGAGAAAGGAAGGTATAGCTTTTCCTGCCACAGTCTGTGATGCTATTCTACATATGACCATATCCTTCTCTCTATATTGGAGAGGTATGGATTTGAAAGATGGACTGTTTGGTGGACTAAGAACTGATTGGCTGGTTGCAGCCAAAGGGTTGTGATCAGTGGGTCTGTCTGGGTGGAGGCTGGTCTTGAGTGGTGTCCCCCAAGGCTTGGTTTTGGGGATTGGTGCTCTTCAGCATCTTTATCAGTGATACAGATGATGGCATCAAGTGCACTCTCAGTAAGTTTGCAGATGGCACCACGCTGTGTGGTGCAGTTGATACACTTGAGGAAAAGGAAGCCATCCAGAAGGACCTGGATAGGCCAGAGATATGGGTCCATGTGAGCCTAATAAAGTGCAACAAGACTAAGTGCAAGGTGTTGCACTTGGGCTGGGGCAAGCCCAGGTATTTATATAGAGTGGGGGAAGATCTCCTTGAGAGCAGCACTGTGGAGAAGGACTTGGGGGGTCCTGGTGGACAAGAAGCTGGACATGAGGCAGCAGTGTGCACCTGCAGCCTGGAAGGCCAACTGTGTTCTGGGCTGCATTAAAAAAAAAAGGGGGGGGTGGCCAGCAGGGAGAGGGAGGTGATTGTCCCCTTCTACTCAGCTCTTGTGAGGCCTCATCTGAAGTACTGTGTCCAGGCTTGGGGAACCCAGTACAGGAGGGATGTGTAGCTCTTAGAGGAGGTCCAGAGGAGGGCCACTAAGATGATCAGAGGGCTGGAGCATCTCTCCTGTGAGGAAAGGTTGAGGGTACTGGGCTTGTTTAATTTAGAGAAGAGAAGGCTCCAGGGAGACCTCATTGTGGCCTTCCAGTACTTGAAGGGAGCATACAAACAGGAGGGAGAATGGCTGTTTACATGGGTAGATAGTGATAGGACAAGGGGGGAATGGTTTTAAACCGAGAGGAGGTTTAGGTTAGATATTAGGAGGAAGCTTTTCACCCAGAGGGTGGTGATGCACAGGAACAGGTTGCCCAAGGGGGTTGTGGATGTCCCATCCCTGGAGGCATTCAAGGCCAGGCTGGATGTGGCTCTAGGCAGTCTGGTCTAGTGATTGGTGGCCCTGCCCGTGGCAGGGGTGTTGAAACTGGATGATCTTTGAGGTCCTTTTCAACCCAGGCCATTTTATGATATAAATTATACCATATAGGAAATAAATGCACCTCATAATCTGCCTACTCTGCATGATGGTACAGCAGAGACTGCACAGAAATATGGATGTATCCTCATGAGTGTATATCAACGGAATGACTAGATTGTGGTGTTGGTAGGGAGAGTCTGATACGCGTAGTTGGCTTCTGAGTTGTATGTGGATGTTCAAGTGTTTTAGTTTTAGTTGCATATCCATTGTAAGTTAGAATACATTTCTTGAAGACTTCAGTCATGTTCAGAGTAATGACAACTTTTTTATTAAGATCCTTAAAGCTGTCAGTTGGGGATACTTGGTTTGGATTCTACTTACATAATCATATCTAGCTGGAATTCTGAACCAACTGTTTTACAAAATGAAATTTGGGTTAATTTGCACTTAAGTGTTAGTATTTCTAAAGTGTGACTGACAGTTGACCTTTATGCTATCACACCTTGTGGGTAGACTCTTATGTATAGCACTTCAAAAGCAACGATTCAGGAACTGAAGTTTAGCTGCTTTCTAAATACACAATGTACCGAGTGTTCATACTTCTTGATAACAGGTTGCATGCTAGGATAGTTTTGTCTGTCTAATCACTCCTACATATGTAGCTCCAAGTTTGTGTCCATCATTACTCCTGTGCTTGGCCAGGCCTAAGTATGGTTTTGCACAACTTCTATCATGTTTAGCTTTCATTCAGGAGCTGTGTATTATTTGCCTGAAAATCCATGTCAGTGGCAGCATGACTACATTTCTTTGGAATCAGAAAGCTTTATCTGATCTTCGTATCTACTGAGGACTTAGAAATTTCTTATACTGAACAATATTTTAATTTTGACTTACAGTTAAGCCTTTTTAATTTTTCTTCTCTCTATTTTCTCCTTGAAGAAGAGAAAAAAATAAGTTCAGTGGGGGCTTTCAGTTGTTCTGCAAGCATAAATCTTGCAGTAGCAAAAAACTAACTTGGAAGGAAGGTCTATAGTTGCATGGTCTCAAGTAGCTGGTAAGAATTACATTTTAAGTGATATTCTGTAGACTGTGATGTAACTTTTACAGGAGAAAGTATTTTTGACAAGGCAAACAAAAGCTGACAACTTGAAATACATCAACTCTTTGGGCTATAGTGATCGGATACTTTCTGGTAGCTACCATAAAGCTGCAGAACTTATCTGTTGGAACTAGGAGAAAAAGAAACTAGGAGTAAGATTTCATAGAATGTAAGAATAACTCATTGAGTAAGATCTCTTGAATATAGTATGATGCTGAAAGGTGAAATTCATAGTTTTAGGGGAAACGGGGTTAAATTCAATGGGATTAGTTTGTTTAGGTCTGAGGCACATTTTCTTATTAGACATTATTTTATGTCTGACTAACAGATAAATAATGTAATCAAAACAGCGTGATACTTTGGTTGTTCCCATTTAGGACATTGTTGATTTCTAGATCTGGAAGGAACAGGCATCAGTTCTGGATGTAGTAGTTTTAGCTTGGATGCTGCAGGATATCCTCTGAGAGTCTCCAATACAGTTTATTGAGCATGAGAGGTTTATAATTTCTGTGATTTGAGATCACAGATTCCAAGAAAGATGGTGGCAGTCTACACTTGAAGTGGGAAGACTCTTAATCTGGCTTTGAGGTATCAAATCTAGTCTGTGATGCATCTTAAAGTGATAGTTTCTATTTGATCTTCATTAATGCCTTAGGATTCTTTGTTTACTTAGTAGTGTTCCACAACAGGATAATGGGATGAAAAGATTTTCAGTAAAATCTCTTGAAGCCACTACTGCATCAGTTTTAAAAACTATTGAGGAGAATTGCAACCCATTGGAGCAAATTGGAGCAGGGTAAATTATATCAACCTAGTAGAGGTTTGTATGTGTGGGATTCACCTTCCAGTATCCTGTTTTGGAAGGCAAAACTCTTATTGTAGGTCACAAATCTTTAATCTGTGATTTTAACACAAACTTGGAATTTATTCAGCAAGTTGTTAGAGAGGCTTTTTGTACTTCTAGCTATGAGGAGATTATCAAGGTTCATCAGGCATGTTTTTGATGCTCAGGATAGGATTGATTTAATCTTGGCTCAGATTGGTGACAGCAAATGTAGAAAGTCATAATCTAAGACCTGATGTTTCATGTCTGCTATTCATGAGAAAGGTGTTCTTCGTTCTGTATTACTGGATTACTGTAGTCACTCACAGAAGCTCTGTATGTTAATTTTCATATGGTTTCCTTGGAAAGGGGCTATTTAACTTCTAGGTCAAATTATCTTTGTATTATTTGCTATTCTGCATCTTGATATACCACAAACGTGAGAAGCAAGTAGCTTTGGCAGCTATTGGCATTATCTGTTCTAGTCTTAGTAACTTTCCAGAGGTATTCATTACAGCTTTTCAGTATCTGCTATTTGTCATTAGAAGGTGTGGATATGTGTGTATAAAATATATGCATTTATAAAAATATACAAATACACTGAGGGTAGCAGCTGAAAGAACTTAATGTCAAGTGTTGTGAAAAGATCTAATCAGTAGGTAATAGCTTAACAAAACCAGGTCTGCTTCAGTCTTAGCTCATGGTTGTACCTTTGCCTTTCCAGGCCATGTTTTTGAAACTGCATCAGGTAATGAAAGGCTACTTGACAGTGATAGTACTGATAGCTGCTGATGGAAGTCTTAGGTGTGCTTCTTCAGGGGTGAGCCCTTTTACAAAAATGAGTGAAGATGGAATTAGATGTGAAATTATGAACCATTGTTATCTACTGATGTGTATCTGAGGTTGAAGTCTGTGAATTTGCGTGAAAGCATTTGGGCTTGTGCTTTAACTGTTCAGTCTAGATTGTGATGAAAGGATGCTCAGGTAAGTAAGATGTGATGAGATAGCAAGAGTAATTTATCAGAAGATAATTTATTCCTGAAAATACAGACTTAACTGGGTATTATTCACAGTAGGTCAGATAGCTTTGGCTTCCATACCTGCTTTTCAAATGCAGTGCCAGTCAGAAGCCCTGTAGACTGTATAATTGAATAAAACCACTTATTAGATTTTTTATGAACTAATTACAGGTGCAGAGTGAGGCAATCAGAGACTTGGGCATGCTATGGCATGGGTTATTCTGCTTCTTGTCAAATGTTCTTTAATGAAGACTCATATACAACTTCGGTGGTTTAAACCAAACTGCCCTGGTTTGCTGAAGGTGGATTAGGGAAGGCTTCTGGTTTCTTTTGCTGGCAGAAATACATGGCAGAACAGTAGAGGTGACAACTACTGTCAAAAGGAGTGACCTACAGTTAGTAGCAGTAGTGTTTTCATTTGCTCCTTCCAGGATATGCATTACATGTAGTTGCCTTAACACCATAATGGGCTACACTAATGTAATTTGATTGACTTTGTGTACTCAATTCCTGTTACGTAAATCTAGTGGTAGTGGTAGGTGCAATTGCATGTGTATAGCCCCTTGTAATGCTATTTTTGTTTCTTTATTGCTTCTTGGCTTAATTTTCTTTTGTATGTTGTTAAATGAAAATAATATTGTTGCTGCTTCTGCCCCTGGACAATGTATACTGAATTAATCTATTTTCTCTAGTATAATGTCTTTGTTCTGTAATCTTGACTGCTGGCTTGCCTTAGGTCTCTATGCAGTTACCTTTGGACTAAGTCCTTTGGGAAAGTGTCTGTTAACTTCTTAGCAGTGAAGCACTGAACTACAACATGCTTCTTCCCAAGTTTGCTTTCCAAGGCCTGCTTCTACTTCAGGGTGGAGTCCAGTTGTAAATACCTCTTTTAGAGAGGCTTTCATAATTTTAAGTCTAGTCACTGCTGGAAGCTTTAGCAGTAAGTTATGTGAGATGGTCATTTACTTCAGTAAACATGAAGTCTTTTGTAATCAGATGTTAAATTAATCATATATGTTACTGAAAACATCCTGTGGTCCCAAAGTGCTCCAATTCCCAATCTGTTTTCATTTAATTACGTTTCTTGTTCAAATGGTATAATTGTTGGAGAATCTTGAAGGACTGCAATATATTGTCAAGTAGTAAAGCTGATGCTGCTTTTCCTGGATGGCAAATTTTAGCTTGATATCTGTGATGTCTTACTGAACCAATATACTTCAGTGAGTGAAAGTTTCCTCTCAAGTCAAATTCAGCCTCATTAGATTCACTTTCCAAATAATAGACTTGATTCTTTGTGTATCAGTTTTCAGAGAGGATTTTTATTATGCCTTGTTCGTGGACATTGATTTCATTTGCAGTCTTAAATACTTTCAGTGGTTCGTACATTCCCAGTGTTCTCACAACAGTAAAGTATCATTCTGAAGGAGGGAACCTTTTACTGTAAGCTGCTTTCTACCCGCTCAAGATCTAATCTGTATTTTGGGCATGCAATTTGAGGGAAATTATTTTCAAGTGTTCTTTAAATTGAGTGAACCTTTGGTGTCTGGTACCAAATATATCTACAGAAACCCCAACTGGTTTCTTGCTAGCGCTGACAAGGTCTTCCTGGGTGTCAAATGGAAGACCTATGCCTGTATGTGGTCACTATACAGAAGTTTTAGCATGTTCATAACTTCTGTGGTTCCTCGTGAGGCACTGGGTTTGAAAGGAGTTGTGCTCTAAGTAGAATGTGCTTAAAGAGACAGTCAAGAACTAGTGCGAACTTGAGCAAAAGCAATGCTTGTGTACCAGCTTGTGGAATCCTACATGATAAAGATTTTGAGAAATTGGTTATCCTGAGAAGATAAGCACCCTATATGCATTAGCTTATTTATTGGCTGTAGTTTTGAGAAGCTTAAATAGGGTTAATGTAAGTATATCTGGCTATTGGTTCAGTGAAGATAATGCGGTTGCGCAAGTGAAATTCTGAGCTAAGTTTTGCTTGCCAAAACTTTACTGGTAAGTGAGGTAGGTTCCTTCTTAGAGATCAGCTTCAAGCTTTGTTCATAGCTATATTTTCTGTTTCTTTCAGGCTGTAATATATCAGTATTTTTCACATGCTGTACTGAATGCATAATTTTGAATGTCATTCCTAAAGCTAGCATCCTTAAATGAGATGGGCACACTTAGTTGTACCTGATATGAATAGTTTGGTCTGACCAGTTTAAACAAAGTAAAGTTTTATTTTTAAGGCTTCTGAGCTTTAAGTATGAATGATTTTTGGTTACTATTAAAAAAGGTGATCTGATGATTGTCACATTATTTCAGGAAACGACGTTGGCAGAAGTTCTTACGGTGCCATGCAAGTGAAACAAGTTTTTGATTATGCCTACATTGTTCTTAGCCATGCAGTATCACCACTTGCAAGATCATATCCAAATAGAGATTCTGAGAGGTAATTAGTCTACTTTTTGAATATTGTTTGTTTCTGTAATCAATTAGGAATGTTGAGTCTAATCGATAAAAGGAATATTGCTCATTGTTGTTTAACTGCAGTTGTATTGAAATCTGCCTAGAAATTCAGGCTGGTCCAGTGCTAAGAGTGTAATACCTTCATGTGCAGCATTGAAATGAAGACAGCTTGATAAAAGCCAGAATTAATCCAGTGTGAGGTTTCTTAGTGTGGAAGAATGCCAGAGTAGCCTCTCCACGAAGGTTCTGCCTGAAGTATTGCAAAGGAAAGACTGCTGACTTGAAATTTGGTTTGATTTCTGTCTATATTACAGCAGAGGAATGGGTTTGAGCAAAATTTTGTGTGAACTAGTCAGAGTAGAAATTTGCCCTGTTCTCTGATATGTGACCCCCAAACTGTTTTAAAAGGCTTTGTATGAAATTAAGCTATTAGAATAAATTCACTTAGGCAGTAATGTTTGAACTGCTGTTAAAAGCTAGCATACTCCTAAATGTGACATTTTTAGAGCACATTTTGATGTCTTTCATAGAAATGCTGTACAGCTGTGTTCTCAGCTCTTAACTTTGCAAATTATGTTGAAGTATATTTTTCGATGAGGAGAAAAAAATGAAGGTATCACAGCTATGTCATTTTCATGCATGTATCTGCTCTAGCATGTGGTATTTAATCCTAACTTTCAGTGCAAACTGGGATAGATCAGAAGATGCATCTTCTCTGGGACTTCCCTAGAATTCTAGAAGTATTCTGAGCTCTCCAGCTAACTTCAGAGAGAAGTGGCTATTGGAAGTCATGTTAACCTTACAGATAAAATTGCAAACTTTAGTCAAGGTGTTAATTTCTAGCATTAATTATAATTGCAAAGGGAGATAGTTATCCTATAGTAAGTTTATTATTTGGTAAGGCAACTGCATATATGCTAAGTTTACCATAAAGAAGTCAAGTTTTGTTTCTGACTTTAATACTCATAGGTTTTAATAGTGCCTGTGAATCTGTTTTCTTGTGGAACTAAATTTAAAGACTGAGACAATTCATGCCTCTGTGATGGAGATAGGTAGAAAGAGTGGGAAGTGTTACACATTAACATTTAAGATTGCTGTTTTAAGATTAAGGTGCATCTCTTGAATGTGTATTGTATATAATGTGTTGCTTCATTTCTATGTACATATGGGTAGAAGGACCTAGGGATATATGAAGTTTTGCTTGTTTTAGGCCCTAGTTAACAACTTTTGTGATTCTTCAAAGGTCATATTTGTTCTCTTATAGGGTGCCTCTGTTTATATTAGACATCAAATCTAAGTTTGTAAATGCATTTAATGCAAGTCTCAGATGTCATCAGTAAGTACACTTGTTACTGTATGTAGGAAGCTCCAAACTTGAGAAATCCCAGTGGCTGTGTTTCAGCAGGTGTTAATACATCTGCCCTGTCCTTCTCCTGTTTTGGGCTGTCTGTGCCAGTGATATGAGCCTCGAACTTGTCATACCTGTAACTCACCATTCAGTCAGGTAGCAATATGTCAGGTGTCATAAAAGGTGCAGCTTTCAATGAAGACTAACCTGTTCAGCGTTGCCATAACTGGGGCTATCTTTCCCTGAAGCATGAAAACAGCCTGGTGGGTTTGAGTTGTTATCAACTCTTTTCAGGGGAAACCTATGTGCATCTTGTGTATGGTCTTGGTTGGTAATGTACAAAACATGTCAGTAGCTTTCAGATCTTTCTTAGTGATCATGCCTTTTTTCCAGTGTTAGTCCAACCTGAAGAAGCAAAAGTCTAAGGTAATTTAAAGCTATCTAGTCAACTGCTGCTTCAGATATTCTCTGTTTCAAAATAAGTCAGATTTTGCTCTTTCAGCACAGGCCTTACTCATCCATGTTCTGTGCTAACATGACCCCCAGAACAGTATGGGCGTATCCAAATTACTCTGTCATTTTATGCAAGCTTCTGAATAAAACTTTTGAAGTGTACTGGGAGTGAAGGCTGTCTTTTGTCTAGGCTTCTCATTGTATTTTGTCTCTGTGCTGAGAAGAAACAGTAATCATTTGAGTCTTAAAGATAGTTAGTCAAAGTTACAGAAGCTACCTTAACTCTTTGTTTTCAGTGTTCCTCACATGTTGTCTTTCTAGAGTGCTTCTTAAGAGGTTAATAGAATGTTCTGCAGATTTCTAGACCAAACAGTTTCCTGTCATCTTGGAAGGAAGGGTTTCTTTAGTAGGAAATATATTATACCTTGTCTAGCCTATCCATCCGTGGACTTATCTCCCTGTTAGCAGCTCAGTTTCTTGCTTCTTGATCTATATATTACTGACTCTTGTCTTTGGTTAGATCTAATGAGCCTGCAGTCAGAAGCTGAGTCAGTTTAACTCTCTGGTCTGACTGAAAGAAAGAACATCAACACTTCTATCTCCAAAGAAGCTGATCCAGTTTTCATTGTGGTTTCTTGAAGGACAGAACAGAAGCAACAGAAGCAGCAGAAAGTTGCTCAGGATAAGATGGAGTGTTATTATATTGCTTGACAGTCATCAGTTTTGCTGGAAGGCTGTGTGTGTATATATACATGGCATAAATTTATCCTTGAATTATAATATGTCTGTAGATCGGCATGCTGGCCTACAATACTGACTTGTCATATTGTTTGAAGTATCAGTGTGTGCTCAGACAGCATCCCTAAGCAGCAGCATAGCCACATTTGGGAGGCAGATCAGGTCATATGACATAAGGATTGGAAATCTGGTTCTGCTACGATATCTCTTCAGTATAACTAAGACTGAAATCTTCGTTCAGTTTGTTGAGTTCTGAATTCCTGACAGGTCCCTCCTTGGAGATAAATGAATGGTGGAGGTGGATGAGGGGAAGATACTATCATGCTGGAAGGCCGGAGCTGAGAGTTGGAGGAAGCTTTGGCAAGGTTTTGCATGTGTGGGGTTGTCATTTGCAGATGAGAATCTTAAATAGTCTGTGTGATACGTGAAGTGTTTTCTCTGTCTTTGTGCTTCGAAGCTGTTTGGTCTGTTTTAACACACTAGATCTAACTGCTGGTAGGTCTGTGTGTTAGGTTTGAGCTACCCCTGATTGGCCAAGAGAGCTCCCAGGACTGTTAAAGGGAATGTTAAATTGATCTGCAAGATCTGCTGACACAGATGGCAGAAGTACTATCTGAAACAGTCTTTCATTTGCTTCTCATCTTAAATGCTGGGTGACCATCACTAGAATGCATACTGTCTCAAGAAATATCAGCAATATCAGCTTTCCCTACACAGTGTTTATCTCATCAAAGGCTTTACGTTTTTTCCTAATCCATGTGCCCAAGCAGATCCTTCTTGCTTTAAATTATTGCTCATCTACTATCAGGGAGATGGTTCAGAAGTTCAGTATCCTTTAACAGTCTTTCACAGGCAGTGTTTTTTGTGCTGAGGAAAACTGGCTGGAGCTTTAGATATTGCCTCATTGAATCTTGTCAGTGATCTGAGCATTTTAAGAGTGATCTTAAGATTTATTTGCATCATAGTTGTAATGTAGTGACAGCTAGAAAGTGTTCTGTTCCATTTTAAGGTACTCTACTTAGTTGTTGAGCTGTGAATCCCAAGAATTCACTAAGATAATGGTGACAATCGTGTCAAAGCATTCAATTCTGTATGTAAAATTCAAGGTTGTATTTTCCAACATGCATTACAGCATTTATGTAATTACATAATAGAATAAGATATGGCACTTGTAGAAGATCCTGATGTATAGAGCATCTGTTTGACTTGTTACTTAAGTGATGTCATATGGTCCAAAGTTTGCTTAAAATTCCTGTTTCAATTTTGACACAGTGGCATGTTTTTTAAAGTTTGGAATCTAAATGTAAAACATGTGGTACTTGGTCTTGCAGTAGAATTATAATGCCTAATGCAGCAGAATTGTTGCTCCTTGCTGAGGAGTTGAAATGTCCTAATGAAGGCAGTGTAAATACTTCTAGGCTATATGTCCTTCCTATTAATACACCTCAAAAATACCAGTAAAGGTACAGTGTACCTTTTATGGTGTGAAATTTAATAAAAAAGCTTCATTACAACTGTTAAAGATTTTCATAATTAAAATAACTTTATAGTTTTCCAGGATGAATAGCTTTTCATAGCCTGTTTTTGTACAATAGTTGGTCCTTCATGAATTTTGAGCATGTATTTTAGGCATTAGTATAGTTAGTGTTTCATTTCCCAGCCCCTAATAGAAGGAAAACTTGGAAGTTGATTTATTAAACTAGGACAAACCTGTTCAAGATAACATACAGTTCACCTGTATGAATGTTGGGACGGCATGCAGTAAAAAGCTATTCTGTACTTGTTGATAACTGGTCACGAGTTAACAGGATAAAAGTATCAGGTGGGCTTGTTCTCACAGCTAGTTACCTTTAAAAAAAAAAAAAAAAAATTCCTTAAATTCTAATTTTATGTGGCATTTTTTGCTAGTCTGTATCTTGTGTCCACTACGTCACAATCCATGATACTTCCTTTACAATTGTAGGGATCTTTCAAGGTGCCCTGTAAACCCATAAGCAAATACAAATACTAGGGAGAGTCTCTATTCAGTGTGAAGATGATTTGAAGGGCTGGGACATTGTCTTCAGTATGATACACATGTCCTAACGGAATGGAAGAAATACTTTTTGTTTGGGGAAATGCAAGAACCTCTAACTTGCCTTCTTCAAACAAAATATAATTTGTATATACTTTCCTGGGAATTAAGATGAGTTCCATTTAGAAGTAAAAATCTTACCAGTGTCAGTGCTTTCAGGTTAGCATAGTAGGAGAGAAGTAGTAAACTAACTTAAAGTGTGATCCTTCAGTGACTCATACACTGATGTAAGGAAATGAAGATTCAAAAAGATTCTTTGGTTAGGGATATCTTAAATGGATTCCAAACGTAATTTCAGTGCTTTTTGAAATGCTTGCAAGTATGTATGTAACCAATAGTCTTAATTTAAATATTTTTTAGCACATTAGGTAGAATCATCAAAGTGACCCAAGAAGTGATTGACTACAGGGCCTGGATTAAAAAGAAGTGGGGGAGCAAAATTAATTTATCACCTGAACTTGGTAGGTATAGCAAATCTTTTGAAACCAACTGAAACATTTTCTCTTCGATTTGGTGCAGTTCAAAATAACTGTGCTTTGAAATGAATTATTTCAGGTATTCTTAAAGAAACTTAAGGAAAAAAAAGGAATTTTTAACTTCTTGATCTGAAACTAGTGTTCTGAGCTTGTTTTTCAGTTTGGCTTGTTAAACAGAAGTAATTCTAAGATTTGAGGATCCATATCTTGTATTCTGTGCTCTTAATTGATGCTCATGTTTTTTATTAACAGATAATAGGTTGAAAATAAGAGACCAAATAGTTCCATGCAATGGAGAACAGAACAACAACAGAGACTCTGAATCATCTTACAACCAACGCTTGACTTTGTCATTGGCTAGTACACAACAGTTATCCTCTGGCTCATCTGCGTCGTCTGTATCATCACTCTCTGGCAGTGACATTGTAAGCTTTTTTGTTTTAATGTTTTAAACTAATAAGCAGAGTTTATCACTCTTTTCAAAACGTGTGATACTGTCCCTGAGCTACTAGTAAATTAATAACTTCCCCTGCTCAGAAAATTACTTCTTTGTTAAATGAAATAGGTCTTTGTTCCATCCTAAATCTTTGGTACCCATTGTGGTAGTAGTTAGCTGTAATAAGATGTATGTGTCAAGTTGACAGAAGCTAATTAAACAGGATAGTAAAAATCTCTTAATTAAATCTTCCTATCAAAAAAAAATCTCATTCTCAATTTCCAGTCCTGTTTTCTTGCATCTTAAATTGAATGTGACCATCATATTCTACTGTGAGAATGAATAATACTACATTTTTTTCAGCCAAACAGTCAATTCATGTTCTAATGGTGAGAGGCCCTCACATGTAAGTTTGTCAGCTTCCTTGTTGGAAAGTGCAGTTTGAAAATGATTGCTAGACATTATTGTAACTTCATGGAAGAAGAGGCAGTAGTTTATTTAGGTACACTCCCAGATGCTTAACAATTGCCAGGTGTTTTCTTTTGGTATGGTTTCAAATTAGTGGAGTTGGGCTGTGCAGATGATAAAGCACAAACTTGCTTTGCATGAGGTACTCAGAAATCTATTGAATCACATTTGTTAGGGGTCAGTATTGACTGGGAGAAGATACACCACCCCCACTTACTCACAGTTGTACTTAAGTCCAAGCACCTGTTTCTTGACTGCTTTCAAAAACTGGACAAACATGGAATTAAAAATTGTGGATTTCATTTTGAAGAACAAATGCATTAATTGTATCTTCTGGTAACCTGTAATTTCTTAACACTACTTCTCTCCCTCTAGTAGATATGGTAAACACTTTAGTTGCACCATCTGGCAAATGGAAAAAGAGCAGCATGGTGCTTGCCAGTGATGCTGCTAGCTGTGTTATTGATTTGAGTAGGACAGAGAAGATAGAGCTGTAAGATATGTTTTATGATAAATTGAAAATATTTGCTTAATGTCATGCACTCTCAACCGGGGGCATGAGCAGTGATGACTTCCCCTTAGTCCCATTTTGCCTGACATTGCATGAAACTTAACTGCCTAATTATCAGATAAATTAGTAAGTGAAAAAGTGGAAAAGCTCTCAACAAGAAGGACTTGCAGTTAGCTTGTGTGTTCCAAAAGTAAACAGCCTTATGCTACTTGGGCATAAGGCTTCCTATTTTTCTATGTGCTTGTCCCTCTTCTATGCCCTGTTTATTGGTACGGTGTCCTTTAGACTGCCAGCATATTCCTTAATTTGCAGTGAAATGACAAGTTTCTGACAACTGAGTCCATCCTATTCACACTTGGATATGCAAGGATGATAATATTCATGTTGAGTAGTTCTGAGCTGTATTTCTTTCAGAAAGAGAAATGTGTTCTGAAGTTAAGGAGGTTCTGTGGTTTGATCTGGTGTAGTATTATGCTCAGGCTCCAGCAAAGAAAATTCCATCATGTGTGAGAACTTATTTGTGCCAAGACTTCCAGTGCATGCTGCAGATAGGTATGATGTAGTGAGCTTCATTCAGTACCAGTTTAAGAACAAGAGAATATGGTGTTAACGTTGATAGAGGTCTATATAGTGTTAGCTCTGATCTTGTGGAATGATGATTCTGTATTCATCTCAAGTTAAATCTTATGAAGTTTGATGCTGAAGATTGAAAGGAAGATGCAGATTGTCAAGAAGGTGCAGGAGACAGAGGTCCTAGATTGATGGTTTGCTCTCTTCCAGATATAAAGATCATAATCTGGATTTTCCAGGGTAGTAAAAATAGTTAACAAAATGCTAACAGTGTCTGGCTGATGAAGTTCTAGTTTTGCTGTCTTTGAGTCCTAGCAAACTGAAATCTTAATCACAAAAAAGAAAAGCTTTGCGAGGATCTAGTGAATTTCAGATCAGTCCTCTTAGAAGCAAAATCTGACTCATATCTCTTGCTATCTGTGCTGCTCAGTTTGTGGATTTATCATACTGTACATGTCAACAGAGACCTCTAACTCGTAGTGACACTTCACTGCAAAATTGAGTACTAACGTTCCCATTCTGTTAGCTCAGCTCTGTAGGCAGTGTAAATATTCTAGTACATGCTAGAAAAGAACCTACGAATACAAGGAAAGTGTCATCAGAACATATGATTGTATGTGTATTTCTTGGCTTCTGTTAATTATCACTGATCTATATAGTATATTTTTTTCTGAATGAAGTATTCAACTGTGCAGCTATTTAAATTGCCATATGCTGCCCTGATTAAAAAAGCAGCATGTATTCTTTACTTGCCCACAGGTAAGTTATGAACTACTGCATGTTCCCACGTGATCCAGCAAATGCTGAAATAAATAGTACTGGTTGTACTAAGTTCTTCCTTTTGAAGGTGCTTTATAAATGTCTTTGCTATCAAGGACAGTGCAAAGTGTCTGAGCTTTTTCTGTGGGAGCAAGAATCAAATTATTCTGCAATAGAAAATAAGTGTCTGATATCAGGAAAATTCATTTTAACCCTCCTACTGATTTTAGTGACTGCTACAGCAATCTAAAACCAGATGTTCACCTTTGCCCCTCTGCAGGCTGGGGCTAACTGCAGATACCAGTCTGAGAAACTAAATAACCAAATGTCTCTTTTTAAAATTTTCTGTTCTGGATATGTGCTTTGCAACTGCTGATCTTCTTTCTTGTTGCTGAAGTGTTATGAAGAGCTTCCTTCCATTAATTCACCAAATCTTAGTGCTGGAGAATATTTACCTAACCAATTATCTCTGCCAAATAGAAATATTTATGGTATATTTCTTTCAGTCTAATTTTGGTCTAGTATAGCCTGGTACTAAATATACTCTGTAGTTTTGATGCCCTTGTGCCAAACAAAGTTTACAATTTAATGTGACAGTGGTACTTGCATATCAGTAACTAATGTAATTGATCATAGGAAAGTTCTAAGGCTGGTTTTGAAATCTAATAGATGCATAACCTCTGAAATCTAGTCCTGCACAATCTTGAAATTTTGTTGGAAGTTTGGATCTAGGGACTCTTGTACACATCTCAGAATGGTAACTTTCTTTGGGCTTGTATGACAAGATTATTTCATGAATGTTTTTGAATTCTCAAGATCATACAGCCCTGCTGAGCTAGTGCAAGTTCCAGCGAATGAAGTAACCTGTGTAGTCTATTTAACTCTCTTAATGTGATACGTGTTTCAGCCTGTTCCTGAATTTTAGCTGTAATCATTGCTGTTCAGCCTTTATAATAACATTTTGTCAGAATGTCACTGCTTGATCTGCCCACCATTCTGCCACTGTCAGAAGATATGCCAACCAGTACCTTTAATGTTTTGTGGAATGTCTTTTCACTGTCTTCAAATATTAAATATTCACTATTGTGATCAGATACTAATGTTATTAAAGTAGTACATAAATGGCTGCCAAGACTGATCCTCATTATTGCTTTCATTCTGCTGAATACAAGATCCACGCTGACTTAAGAACTGTTACTTGCTGTGCAGTATTTGTGGCTTTTAGTACTTGGGCTCAAAGTATTTAATTATCAGCATTTCCCTTTTATTCCTGTTAGTCTCAAGGGCTGTGAATTTCAGCTTATTGGCAGAAAGTGTTGAACTTCACCATTTGGAGGTGGTAAAAATGACATGATCTGTCCTAATAAATTTTGCTTTCTTCTTTAAAGGGATGAAGTTTGCAGGTGTATGGCATGTGCTTATCTGCATTAGGACAGACACTGACACTTCGAAACACTTACTGTAACAGCTCTTCTTGCAGACTTGTTATATCTGTGTAGTGACTATGATTTATTTTATTGTTTTGGTTAAGTGTGTGTAGGAGGGTGGGCAGGAGGAGTGTGGCCCAACAATTCTTGATCTGAGAACAAAAGCTGCACAGAAAATTACTTTTCTGCCTTTTTACTAGTCTGAGTGTTCTCATGCCCTAACTGAAGTAACCATTCAAATATGCATGGACAATTGACCATCTTTTGATAGAATGCATATACTGTCTTGCTCTTCTTCTTTCCTGAACAAATAAGGGGAAACAAGTCCTCTTAAAAAAGAAAAAAGCAACTCAATCTTTAGTCTCTCAAGAAAGGTTGACTCAAGTCAGTACTTAAATCTATCTCCAAATAAAGCAGCCAGCTACCCTGAAACTTTCCCTCCCCAAATCTCTTAAAACTTTTCTTCTCCCTATTCTTACTGTGAAGACTTCTGACACTTTCTGTGGAACAAATTTTGCCATTACTACTCTTTCCTGATTATTTTCCTTTTTCACTCTCCACTCCTATGCTTTGCTTTTGTTTTCTTACCCCATATTCTCATGTGCTGTTTTATACTGTCTTGTCTTCCATCAGGTCTTATCTTTCAGTTGCTTGAGCAGGCTTTTCATTATGTATACACACTTGATGTAAGAGTAAACTCTGCAGGAGGCAGAGTTTGGAAAAACAGGTTATTTGGTAAATTATTCTGAGCAACAAAAGGTGCAGAGGAATTGTGAATCAACAAAAGTTGATTTTACTCCTGTGGTGTCTGTGAGGTAAGGAGAAAGAAGCACCATTTAGGAGTTAGGCTTCTTTTTGATGCCTCCAGCTAATTATATTCTTGCCATATATTAATATTACGTCACCTGAAAAAGAGGTGCCAAAGCCATTTTAGGATGGAAGAAAACCTAAACTGACATTTATATGCTCAACTTGCAGTAATAAGTGCTATAATTTAATGCTTAATTTGAAAAATATTTATCTGCAAAATTTGAAATGTTATTGTACTCTTATCAATTCAGGCCAGTTGAAAGCCCATGAAATGAAAGTAGTAGGAATACTAAAGGAAGTTTGAAATGAGACACTTTGGGGAAATATCTTCTGTTTAATAATGATTAAAATAAGGAGTAATTTTGCAGGCATTGGAGAAGATAACACAGTGAGGCTAAAGGGGCACTTTGCTTGTATTTTTAATACTGAGAGATTCTAATTAGATTAACTTAAGTTGTATTTTGGTGAAACCACTATTAGTTTTGGAGGACATGTATTTTTCAGTTTGCTTCTGTTATTTATCTGTTCTTACACTTCCCCCCCTCTCCTATTAGCATGACAAACGTATTTTGTTTTTATAATGCAGTTTAATTAAGGACAGAAAAATCAGTTACATCTTGTTTGAGGTTTTGTATTATTTATAGATTGGCAAATAGGAAGGGCTCAACTTTTTTGATTGATACAAATCCTGTGACCTGCCATAGACAAATGTTGATCTCCTTCATTATACCATAGTCTCTTAAAGTTATGGCTCCACCTACCAAAAAGGGAAATGGCACAAGCTGGGGTGAAATGGGATGAGGATTTGACAGACTTCACATCACCTTGGAAGTATGTGGATTTGTCAAGAAGATTTGAGTGTGCTGGTCTAAGGCCATTCAAGCAAGATTATACACTGAGGTTCTTCAGTGCTTTGGCTGAACTTCTTTGAAATGCCTGAATTTTTCCTAGTGTTACTTTTTTCTCTAAGGAGTGTGGTTTTGTACTACTGCTCAGTAAATCCACTAGTTGTTCTTTCTAGGGATGACTCTGCTTAGTTGCTCCTTGGGCTTTTCTGCATTCATACTCAGCTGAACTTGTGGTGAGCTGATTGAGGATAAAACTAGAAAAAGGAGATTGCTGTTTCTGTGGTTTGCCTCAGAATTGGCTCATAATGGCAAATGCTAATGCAAGTACAATGGAGAGAGCAATAATGGAAGAAGTGAAAGGAGTAGGAATGGCAGCAGTTATCTATTAGATCACTTTGTTCCTGCTGTTGTAACAGCACATTGAGAGGAGCATGTGAAAAAAATCTTTAAAGTTCCAACTATAGGCACCAGTGCTCAGTTCTTTCTTTTCAAAGAACACAATTTGTATAGAAATAGTCTTTGTTCTCACAGCTTCCAACTCCTGAATGTTGTAGGAAAGTGGGAAACTGATGGAAGAAGGCTGGAGAATGGGACAGTAAGAACATCTTTGCCATGATCTCTAGTTCATTCTTGTATGTGTGTAGGGGACACAACCTGTGTATGTTATGCTACAGACACTTTCATTCCTTTGTTAAAGGTTTTGATTTCTTAATATTGACTTCTAGGTTAGATTTTTTTCCTCAGAGTAACAATTTTAAAAATTGACTGAGATTCTAAAACTTGTTTGGTCCATGTATTTAAAAGAAATATTAAAAATTGAATTCCTAGAGTAGTAGCTGTTGTCAGTTGAAAAGTTTGAATTGACTAGCAATGTCATGAAACAAAGAAAACACTACTTCCATGCAGTTAAATTTGTGGAGAGGATACCTGTAAACATTATTAAATCACATGATATTAGAGAGTGAACTATTGTGCTGAAGGATGGGTATATCTATAAACTTTACCCTACATCTTACCTTGTATTTAACCCTTGAGTTACTAATGGAGTTGAAATAAACTCTTATGGTCAGACCTAGTTAGTAAAGGGTTCCTGATGCTAGGAAGAGACATTTGCATCATAAGATCACTTCAGTACATTTGTTGTTTCACTGTTTCTGCCTAGACAGAAAAGTAGGGATCCTGTTAGTCAAGCACAAGTTGCAGTGTTCCTCAGTAATGATTGTTGTTTCTCCTCCATGCTTTTTCCTTACCTACAACAAGGTAAATTGAACACTCTTACCTAGTCAGAGATATGAATAGTAGAAATCTTCCTTTTGAATACTGTGTTCTTATTTGGGAAGTTGAAACTGATTTAAAGAATAGGTTTTAAAATGGGAAGTTGTCAATAGAATAAACCAGTATCTTTCCAAAAGCATCTCTTCAGGTATTTTTGTGAAGGACTATGATAGGCAATAGGCATTCAAAAGAGCAGTAAAGAGATTGGGAACTTACTTAGGTGATGTAGCTTCATCCCTATATAATTAAGCTAAAAGCATTAGGGGGATCTTATTCTTGTATTTATATCTGTCTTTTTACTGTGTAATCTCTGTAGCCCTTATACTGGTGAGGGCCAGAGCTCTTGTCTTTCAGACATGGATCTGAAGTGTCAAGAGTATTTGTAAGCTTCTGGATCCACGTTTGCCTCTTTGCTTGAGTGCTTTTGAGTGCTCTAGAGTGCAGTGCTAACTCTGCTTATGATGCATATGCAATTGCTGTTGGTCAGGCTGGAAGGAGGAGGTATAAAAAATATAGTAGTGAGCTCCACTACAGTATTTCTGTAGTCTTACATCCATCTCGCTTTCCTCTGAAGAACTGTGCGTACTTCCAATGGAAAGTGATGAGAACTCCTAACTAGTATTGAAGTGGATAACTAGTGCTTATATGTTAGTCTTGTCTGATTAGCCATCTCCTTGTTTCTTGGTAGATGGAGCTCTAACTTTGGTGGGTTCAAGAGTTTGAGTAACTTTTCTGTACAGTTCAGTGCAATCCATAATGCTGTTCTGAGGACTGATTCTGTCATGACACCTGCAATTGTAGTCCTCATTTCACTGTCACTATTCTTGCACTGTTTTTTTCCAGATGTAGTTTCTACCTTTTAATTCTAATTGGGTAGAAGAGAGCTTTATTTGGCTTTAGATCGAGCTGACCAGAACTGATTTGTTATCACCATAGACCTATTGACTTTGTCTTTGTGACGCAGACTTGGTTAAACTCAGTCTAAACTGCTAGATATGTAAAATAAACGTACTACTAGTTTATATTTTATTTTCTTACCACTGAAAGAATCTTTACAGTGTTCACGAGAGATAATATTTGGATGCATTTTTCACATTCATAGACTGTATATGCTGTATTTTCTGTAAAGTTGCTTTTCTTTTCCCCTTTTTCTCTGCCAAAAGGATTCTGATACACCACCTTGCACAGCTCCTAATGTTTACCAGTTCAGTCTGCAAGCACCGACTCAACTTATGGCCAGTTTACCACCAGCATTGCCTATGCCAAGTGGTAAACCCCAATCTGCGCCTACGAGAACCTTGATAATGGCCGCCAGTAATCAGGTATGAGCCAACTGAATGGAGCTACCTTTCTATGAAAAAGTGATCTAATCGGAATTATAGATCATTTGCGCTGTGCTGTCTAAAAACCTCTAGAGATATACTTGATGGTATTATGTGCTGATTTTCATATAACCATTAAGCTGCTTAACTGCCATGTGAGAAGCACAGGAAGAAGAAAGGGTGGGAGATGTTTGAGATACTTGGAGCTCTTCCAAGCACACTCACCCCCTAGGAATAACCTGATAGGCAAATGTCAGACATCTGACTCTGACCTATATTTGAGGATTCTAGTACCCAAGCTAGTGGGATATTTGCAGATCTCAAGGCTGTTTAATTTCCTTTTCTTAAAGTAGAAACTTCTCACAAATGATATATCTGTTAAGCTAGTGTTTGAATGTGAAGAAATAACTACTGCTTTGTCTGGGTGTGCTTAGTGGCCTTGATTTCTGAATTGTGAGAACTTGTCTCCACTTGTAACCTTCTGTAATAATTTTAAAGATGGAGAAAAATCTAGGCATATTTCCAAGAAACATTCCCAAATATTAAATGTGCAGGGAGACAGACAGTATGTTACCTAACTAGCCTGCAGGATTTTTTTAGCTAACATCCATTAATGTACAAGGAGAAGAAAGATCTTTAGCTTTTCCATACAGCCTTGGTGCATCTGTCTATAGCAAAATGCTCCCTCAATCTTGATTATTGAAACTATCAGTCTAAGCAGCTGCCTCATGAGCTTTAGTGAAAGTTATGGGTAGTGGGTTGTCTATGATAAGGAAACAATGCAAATTTCTTTGACTAGTTTTGGTTAGATTTCTGCAATGTTTTCAATGTTATCTCAATTCTCCTATAGTATTTCTTGGAATTGTAGGACCGGAACGCTTTTGATTTCATGACTTCATTTTTTATCTGACTCAGAAATTCCTTGATGTTTTGAAGGGGACCTTTAGGACTATTGATTTCAAACTCCTCTGCCATATCAGAGGGAACATTCCACTAGACCAGATTGACCAAAGTCCCATCCAACCTGGTCTTGAACACACAGAATCACAGGGGTTGTAATGCATCTCTGAAGATCATCTAGGGCAGCCCCCACTGAACACTTCCAGGGTGGGATTATGACACAAGATGTTTGCTTCTGTTTCTGCTTTGAGATTTGTGAAGTATTCAAATGGTCTGAGTATTTGGTTGAAATGGACTTTGAATGTACTTAGTCCAGTCCTCATCAAAAGGCAGCTTGCTCACATTTTCTGAGTAACTCCAAGAATGAGAATCTTCTCCTAATCTCCGCTCTGGCAACGTTTAGAATCATGGAATTATTTGTGTTGAAAGGGACCTTTAAGGGTAATCTAGTCCAACTCCAATGAACAGGGGCATCTACAGCTAAGATCATGTTGCTCAGAGTTCTGTCCAGCCTGACAAAAGAAGGGACCCCTACCCAAAAAATCATCAAGTGAGCTCTCCAGGGATGGAGCATCCACCACCTCTCTGAGCAACCAGTGTGTACCTGTGCTTCACTGCCCTTATTTAAAACAAACAAAAAAAAAACCAAAACAAACAACTTTCTCCAATCTAAATTCCCCCTGTTTCAGTTTGAAACTGTTTCCCCATGTCCTATCACAGCAGACTCTGGTAAGGAGTCTTTCTTTAAGTACTCCTTTAGTACTGCTATCAGGTTTCCCCAGAGCCTTTTTTTTTCTAGACTGAACAGCCTCATCTTTCTCAGCCTTTTCTTGGAGAGGAAGTGTTTCATCCCTTGGATCATTTTTATGGCCCTGCTCTGGATGTACTTCGGCAGATCCATGACTTTCTTGTACTGAGGACTCTATACCTGAATGTTGTATCTCCAGAAGAGGTCACCATCACGGAGTATAGGGTCAAGATCACCTCCCTTGCCATGCTGGCTATGCTTCTTTTGATGAAGCCCAGGATACAGTCAGCCTTCCGGGCTATGAGGGCACATTTACTCATTGATGTCTAACTTGCCATCCACCAGGACCTCTAATGCCTTTTAGACAGAGCTGTGCTCAATACTTTCATCCTTTAGCTTGTATTGATAGTGGGGGTTGCCATTACCCAGGTGTAAGACTTTGCACTTGATTTATTGAACTTCATGAGGTTCTCCTGAATCCACTGCTTCAGCCTGTTTAGGTCTGTCTGGATAGCATCCCATCCCTCAGGTGTGTTGATTGCAACAAACAGCTTGGTATCATCTACAAACTTTCTGAAGATGCACTTGATTGCAGTACTGATGAAGATATTGAAGAGTATTGGTCCCAGTACTGACCCCTGACGTACATCACTTGTTGCTCATCTTTACCCAGCCATCAATCACCACTCTGGGTACGATCTCTTAACTAGTTCCTCATTCATTCAACAGTCCACCCGTCAAATCCATTTCTTTCCAGTTCTGAGAAGGAGAATGGATGGGTTAACCATGTCAAAAGCCTTATTGAAATTCAAATGACATCAGTGGCTCTTTTCCATTGATGCAGTTACACTGTCATAGAAGGTCACTAGGCTGGTCAGGCAAACACTCTTCCAGTGTTTGATCCCACTTTTAAATAAAAGTTTAGTCTTAAATTTAGTCTTAAAATACTTTTCACGTACTTATGTCCATTTCTCCTTGTTCTTTTACTAAGCATTCTTCTCTTACTGAGAGCAATCTTTCTCCATCTACTTTAATTCTTCTCATTAGGTACTTAGATCCATTAGTATGATCCCTGCCCCTCAGAGTTCTCCTTTTGGGGGTAAACAATGGAACTCTGGCATCTTTTTCATTTCTGACAAATGTTTGTGTCTTATTCTCACAGACTTTCATTGGACTCACTTCAGTATGCCTACATCTCTTGTACTGGGAAGCCTAGACTTTTACATAGCCCTCCAGATGTGGCCTCGTTAGTTCTGAGTAGAAGGGAAGGATCACCTCTCTCCACCTTGTAGTGATACTCTTCCTAATGTAATGCAGCCTGGGATGTTGTTTACCTTTCTTGATAAAAGGGCATGTTGCAAACTCAAGTTCAACTTGTCTGTTGACTATCTGTGGTTGTGTTACACTAAGCTGTTTTCCACCTGGTCAATGCCTCACATGTATCAATGTATGAGATTATTCCTTCCCATGGGCAGAGTTAAATTTGAAGTCTATAAGGTACCTGTCAACTCATTTCTCCACCCTGACAAGGTTTGGCAGCACAATTATCGTGTTTGTTAGCTCTCCTTTCAGTTTCTAAGGGTTACTATCCTGTCATCCAAGTCACTAATTAAGATGTTAGTTAGTATTGGCCTGGCATCAATGCAGAAATGGACAACCGGTTGCAGACCTCTAGCTGGATTTTGTGGTGCTGATCAAAACACTTTAAGCCTGGCATATAAAGGTATATTTTTCATTCAGCGTGCGAGTTTGTCTAGAGATGGCATCTACCACTTACTATAGAATGAAAAAAAATCAGTGCTTGGTTCAAACTTTAGCTGTGTAAGAAGTTCTATCTGAACAGTTTTTTCATGTTCAGTAATACCAGCCTTGAGTTATGACATATTATAGCTCAATCCCAAAGCCTTCCCAGTTGCTACACAAATATTTAAAGCACTTGACAGAAATGTTTTCAAGACACGTTTCCTTTTGTTTAGATCAGATTACTGTTGCTCTGCATACTGCTGGTATTCTTCTATTTCCTTGTAGACTGCTTAATAGTTTTAATCTTTGAAAATTGTTCCATCACATGCTTTCCACATCTATTTCCTCTGCAATCCTCAATCATACAGCAAGCCCCTACTTACATCTCAAAGTATGATCTTTGTTTTAATTTCCTGAATGATTCATTCAGTTTTATTAATTCCAGTTTTATGTTAAACTCATGTGAAGTATAATCTTAGTCTGTTTTGTTCTTTTCCTTAGCAACTCTTTTAAATGAAGATGTTTCCTGTAGCTTAACTTTGTCAGAATTGTGTGAAAGCAGAATCAAGTTGCAGTTATTGGTACAAAACAAGTTAGGATTTGGAGTTGACTGGGTTGTGAAGAGGCAATTTGTTGAGTGGATGTTGGACCTTAGCTGCAATTTTGAATCTTTGAAGAAAAGTGCTTTGCAGCGTTACTTGGCTTTTCTTCTGTAGTTTGTACAATACATAGATGTTTAAAACTGGAGTTTATCGCTGGCTTTTGAAAGATAAGGATGTGCCCTTTGAGATCATGTTAAATCAGAAGAATTTCTTGCTACCTACAGAAGCAATTGTTTTTCTACAGTAAATTTAGTGAGAATTTGTATTGTGAAGTAAACATGTTCTTTTAGATGAAGATTGCAACCAACCAAGTCCTAGTGGGAACTGAAATCACTCTACTCAGAATGTGGTAAATGTATGCTTTTCATTTGCAACGTTTTGGAGAATGAACGAACTGGATTAGCTTTAACTTTACTCAAACTAGCATGGTCTTCAGTTATAAGGTACATCTTAATAGCTGAGAGGGTTTCTATTCTGATAGTCTTGAATTGATAGGTCTCTTTAACAGCAGATATTTTCTTATCCAAAAAGTGTTTGAAAGGCATTCCATTGTCCATTTGTCTTCAGCCTCTTCCCTGGCAATTTTTTTCCCTCAGTTCAGCTTGTTGTCTTTGAAGCGTTATTTACAGGAAGCTTTACCTAGGTCTCCAGTACTGTAGAAGCAGAAAGTGCCAGTGCAAGAACTTTGAACCAATAGCAACCTTCTAGACAAATTCTCTGCTGTTAGATCTTCCTAATGCTTTCTTGTTTGAAAAAGCATTGGAATGATTAACAGTTCTATTTATACACTACATAATTAATTGGAGAAATTCCAGGTAGTTCAGGGACTAATTAAGCTCCTTATAAAGATCTATGTTCTTTTCAGTATTATTAGTGTTTTTCCTTGGTAATCATTCTACTTTGCTGACAAAGCAGTTTGAAATTTCTTCTGGGAGAACAGAACAGTTTATGAACCAACACTCTCCATTGGAGTGAATAAGAAAACAGTACTGGTATACATGTTCAGG